CACTGGCATATTAATTAAAAAGTAAGTAAACTAACTGCCAGAACAGAACATTTTATAGCTGTAGCCTTACAAAGTTTACCGAGACCCCGAACCCTTTACTTTTTGTTATTCAGAGTTTTGAAGAATAAACCGAACCGAAGTTTCCCAGACACCGACAGCACAGAAGGGACGGTAAGTCATTGCGTACTTTCCATTGCAATAATGGACAATTACGCCGATTAGATTTATACCAGCGATGGGTACTGATATTGGATGCACGCAAAAAGAACATGTTTAGGTTGTTTAGTAGTCCCCACAATTAAATTATTACAAATTCACACACACACACACACACACACATACACTGGGTTGTAATTATATCTTTGTAGGGACTCTCCTTTCACTTCTATGAGGAAAAAAACTAATTCCAACCTTTACCACTACCCAATCCTAACCAAAAAGAATACAAGTCTTTTGGCATTTGCAGTTTATTCATTGCATTCTCAGGTCTTTGTGGGGACCTGAAAATTGTTCCCACAACGTCAAGATAACAGTTTTTTTTTTATCAGATTGTGGGGTTAATGTATACCTGGACCACGCACACATAAACGCACACACAAGTATATATACATTTACCCTACCTGAAATGATATGTTCTGGAAAATATTAAAATAATAACATGGTTCTATCATTGGGGGCTTTATTGCTTTTTACTGAGCTTTATTCCTACTGCACAGGACACCGGACGCCGAAGAGCTCAGAGAGTCACCGGCGATCAGTATATTGACAGAATAAACTCAGTGTACGGGACAAAACCGACACCTCGTTCTTTTCAGATTGTTATATAATGGCTTATTCGTTTTAATGTCTCAGAATAGTTTGCAATGTTTGAATGTCGTGGAGCCTCCTAGTAAATGAATACTGATGTATAAAATCACTGGAACGCTAACACAGTAATCGCGATCAAATTTTAAATAGTGACGTTTAACGAAGACTGAACGACCACCCGCCCAAATGTGATGTTTGGCATGAAAGCAAATATTTTTCAGTTTATAGTACTGCATGTTGGTACGGAGCCCCCGAAGTCCCATAGAGTGATTTTTTTATCTTGTGCGCACAAAACACATAACTTGTGCGCACAAGTTACGTTGAGTTAGTATTTGTAAGGAACAGGTTAGCTGCTTATAGCTGCCGTACTACGTTTGCTAGACCTCTAGGTTAAGCTGCATTTGCAGTTTTCAAGAGTTTACTGATTTCTCAAAAATGATTTCATTTACATAATTAGATAGACGAATTGCTGTGTGTTTGATGTCACTCGCTTGTTTAATCGAATCGTTCTCCTAAAAAAAAAACATTGCTGGCATCAGGATACAATATAATAAGATATAGCCTAGTAGCCTTGCAATTAATATTACTCGAAGGAGTAAATGCAACGCTGCTGCGCACTACTTTGGCATTAAGGCTGAGTTACGCAGTCCGCGTGAATGGCTGCGTGAATGGTCGCGACAGAGGTGAAGCGCCGTGAAGAATACTTTTTCCTTTCACTATCGGAAATCATAGTAAAACAGGTATAAACAGGTTCAATAAATACAATAAACAGGTTCAATAAATACAATAAACAGGTGTCAGTAATTATGTCTTTACTGTACCTGTTTATCATAGTGTATTATTATGATTACCGATAATGACCGAAAAAAAAGTATGTTCCTGTCGCTTCACCTCTGTCGTGACCATTCATACGGACGGTAACTATCTTGTGCGCACAAGATACATAACTTGTGCGCACAAGCCGCACAAGATAAAAAAAAATCACTCTATGAGACTCCGGGGGCTCCGTATGTTGGCGTCTTTGTTTTATAATAAAAAATATTTCGCATAGTAATCGTCTTGTTTCCTGTCCAAACAAGGCTCAGTGTGCGCCTGGTGGTTTGTGGAAAAAACCGCTAGAATTCAGGGTTTCCGTGTTAAGAAGCTGCGTGGGAAATGCAGTTGATAATTACGTCATTGTTTCGCATTTTCCACAGTGTGTCTTGGTGAAAGACTATAACCGTCTGGTTATATGAAGTATTGCCTACAATATGTCGCCTTATTACAGAGACGTGGTCACCTTGACAGTCTTGATTCTTAGGAGCTTTAACATTGCTGCAAACATAGACTCTTATGCAGCTCCTCTTTCCTTCACTCAACTGTTATGTTTTGCAGTGTTTACATGTTAAATTTTTGTTCTAAAAGGCAGCACTGTCTGAGTTTCTCTCATTTCAAGTGGGCTTTTTTGTCATACCTTCCATTTACTATTTTCCAGAACATGCTATGGTACAGAAAAAACATTTCCTCAGGGCCACAGTGCAACGTACATATAGCATGTGACAAGAGGAAGGTTTCACAGTATTAAATAGTTAATTGCAAGTAGCTACATTTATCGATATCTGGCCACCAAATTCATGTAGATGGAAAATGCAGGCAGCCACTGACAGTTATTTATACAGAATTTAGAACAAAATCAGTGTGTGCCTGCAGAAAGTCTCTTAAACAGTAAACATCACTGCTATTTAAAATTTGGAAAATTTAATTTCTTCCATACTTTAACTGGTGCACCACCAGAGAGGCAGTGTCACAACTTGGGTGGTTCGGGCGCGAGGACGAGGCATGGTGCAGGCAGATAGGAAGGGAATGTGGACGACATAGGACAGGACGTGGTTTATTAACAAACACAGAACACACTAGGAACACTACAAAATAAAGGACCANATAGTGCTATTTCATTTTAATTTTAATTTGTGCAGGATTTTTACGCACAGACTTTGGGAAGTAAATGGCAAAGTGGAGATTGTATTTTCTTTTTATCATTTTCATTTTAATTTTATTTTTTGCAGAAAATACCTCCCATAATCCAGTAGGAATTAGTGGGTTGGACAATGTATGGATGGATGGAATTCTAACAAAGAAACTAAGAAACAGAATCTACACTAGGGGTATAACAGAGAGGGAAAAAGACAAGCACAGGGCACAAAAACATGAAACCAAAACCAAATACAAGACACAGGAACAAGAAAACTCATACAAATGAAACACTAGGGAACAAAATACAAAAACAGAGGAGGCAGGATTCAAACATAAGACCAAGGGGTGCGCAAGCAACCACATGAGCCATGCAGCCAACAGGGAGCAGGGGAAAACACAAAGACTGACAACAGGAGGGATGGGATGACCAGCAACACCTGCTGGCCAAACGGGGAAGGGACACTGAGTGAAACAACAGGAGCTGACCCTGACAGGCAGGTAGTGGGACAAATTTAAGGTATAGATTCCCAGAATTCTCAGCCCACTACCCTCAAAATAACAGTGCCCATTGGGGGAGGTTGGTACATTTTTAGTCCACCTTGGTATGATTTCACTGATTGGGGGCTACTCCACAGTACATTTTGCCGATGGTAGGTTTACCACAATCAACCATAAGAATTTCTTTCACATTTGTATAGAGACCCTTGTGTAGCAAAAACAGCAGCCGAATCTTTTATTGGTGTTTGTTAAAGTCAATAGTGAATTAACAACTTTGTCTTTTATCTAGCTTGGCCAAATACAACCTCTCACACACATTCAGGCTTGTTCACGCTGGGACACTTTTCATGGTGGGCAACCAGCTGCACAGGATTATGGGAAGAGCACCGGTGCGTATGCTCACACTGGATGAGTGCAATATTACTCGCACCTCCACTTTATGTTAATTGTAATGTTTAAGTGTTACTTGATTTCACTGCACTATTCTGCCCTACTAAGACAAAAACAGTGACTAAGCTGACACTGCAACTCAGAAAACAGGCTTCCAAGTTATTTACTGCCCACCCATATGTGAAGGCCTAATTGTTAGGTAAAATATAGTGTTTTCTTCAAAAAAGAGCATATATAGTCGACCTAAATAATTTGGTTATGAGATAAAACAACCTATGAGACTCAGTTTCAGTCATAACTCAGTCCACTGCACTTGTTGCACACTATCATTAAAACATCTTTAATCTTGAAACATGAACGTGAAATTTTATGAAGCCCAACTACACCGTCAGGGGGCACCAGAGCACAACAGCACAACAGTACCAGATAGAGCTAAAACACTTTTGAAATCCTTGCAATAAATTTAGGTGGTGTTGTCATGCCCTGATCGTCCGCTCCTCTCGTGTGCCACACCCCCTCGTTAACCCCATGTGGATTCCCCGTGTTTATTAGCTGTTTCCAGTTACTGTCATTAGTGCAATGTATTTAGTCCGTGTTTCAGTTTGTTTCCCCAGTCCGGTCATTGTAATGTTACCCCGTGTTTTGCCTGTCCCTATTGTTGCTGTTATTATTAAACCCCGTGTTTGCCCCGACTACTGGTTTCCTGCGCTTCTGTCCACGCTCCGTGCGCCGTGTAGTGTGACAGAATGACCAGACTCCCAAACAAGACACCTGAGCTGAACGAGGCGGAATACCTCGCCCTCGTGGACGTGGTTTTATATTGGCTACGCCAGCCCAAAGTCCGGGAGGATCCCCTGCTTCTGGCTATAGCCAGCCGGAACAGGGACGTGTTGGAAGATACGTCCCTACCCGGAGACGCGCACCTTGCGAGGGAGGTGCGCGACGACTTACGGCGGCTGAGACGTGGGGGTAGCGGAGGCAAACATGCGGAAGGTAGCCCTCGCGAACGGACTGCCTTTTGGTCCGCTCTCTGAGCTGACGGAGGTACCGCAAACGCTGCCGCCCACCACAGGAAAGCGTAAGAAAAAGCGGAGAAAACGCGGACAGGAAGACGCACAGGAGGTGTGTGTGTGGGCTGTCGCTCTCTCCGCTGCTTCCTTTGCTGGGTGTTGGGAGGACCCCCTCCCTGTTTTAAACCCGGCAGTGTTCGCGCCTGCTACCGCCTGCCCTGCCCTGTCCCAGTTCAGACCTGCTTGTCTCCGAATATTGTAGGTCTATCCCGCTTGTTTCTAGATATCCTAGTTCTGTGCTGCCTGCTGCCAGGAGCCCCGGCTTCACTCTGCTCGCTGGCTCCTGCTGTCCGGCTGGCACAGGGGCACACCACCCAGGGCAGCTGCTGAATTTTCGGCTCCTGCCCTGTAGGCCGCTTGGTTCCCAGTTCCTGCTCCAGTCTCTGCTCTTGCCTAGCAGGTCCCTCATCAATGGGTTCTGGCCAAGGAGTCCCAGCAGTTTCCCCTTGCCCTGTAGTCCTGGCAGCGCCTACCAGTTCCTGTCCTGGTTCCGGTCCTGTTTCCTGTCCTGCAGGTCCCTTGGTGTCATCCAGCCCCAGCCCTGCATGTCCCTCCGCCCCCTTTGGTCTCGGCCCTGCCGTCCCCTCAGCACTGCCTGAAGCCGGTCCCTCCACCCCCTTTGGTCCTGGCTCAACTGTCCCCTCGGCACCATCTGCTTCTGCTGACCCCTTGATGCCACATGGTTCCACTGGTCCTTAGATGCTTGGGAGGACCTGCGTCCTGGGATTGGTGCCCAGCATCCTGGCTGCCTCTTGTTAGACTGTCCCTGTCCCTATGGTCCCTCCAGTTGTCGGCCCTGTCCTGGGGGGTGTTGTGTATGTTGCCCCCATGGTTATCCCTGGTCCTACCCCAGTTTGGTCAGTTTCCTGTGTGGTGTTCTGTCTGGTCTTGTGGCCAGTGTTACTGTTAGTTTGGTCTTTCGTCAGGTCTTGCCCTGTCTGGTTCCACTGTGTAGCTTGTCATCCCTGGTCTGGTCTTGAGTCCTGAGTCTCATCTGTCTCTTGCCCTGTTGTTCAGCCCCTCTTTCACAGAGGGGGGTGTACTGTCATGCCCTGCCTCTATTCCTCCTGTTTCCTCCCCAGCATGGCCTGTTCATTGTTTGTTCTACTTCTCGTTCCAACCTTTGGGTAATTCACTCCAGCTGCCTCTCATTTTCTACTTTGTTATTCCTGGTATAAAGGTGTTTCCCAGTCCTGTGCTCCCCAGTCCTGTCATTGAAGACATAACATCAAAACATGTTCATCACTGCGTGCCTGAGATCTTCCCCGCGTGTGTCCTTTCCCCATTTCAACTCCTCACAGTTTGCTTTATTTTGTCCTGTTTCGGTTTTGTTAATTAAGTCCTTTCTGTTGTGAAATTCATCAAAAGCAGAAGGTATATTACGGGACAAAATCCTCCTCAGCTATGAGCTATTCTCTTCAGTGGAGTCTGGTGGGACATTTCATAGCATGAGAAAGTTGATTGTTAGGTTCAAGAACATAATCTACCCCCAGGCAGCCACACCATCAAATCACTATATCGGGATTACTGCAGTAATACATGCTCTTCATGTGAACTGTAATGTCTAAGACTTCACTAGTCACTGCATTACAGCTGAGGTACAGTATATTCTGTCAGTTATTTTATTGTTCTGCGGGCGGCCAAGCAAGTTCCAATGCACTTGCTGCACACGACCAGCAATAAATCAACAACAAAACCACATTTAAAAAAAATACTGAGTAGTATAAAACAATCTGAATCGATGATACCGAAACGTTTCTTCAGTCATGCTACCTTGAGAGTGCAATTTATATCAAAGAAATTAAGCCGGTAAAAATGGGTTTCTGTTCTGTACCCTGAAAGTAAGGCAGGGTCTGTGTGTCTTCACTGTGCAGCCACTTCCTCCCCCCACACAGAACTGCCAGCAGCAGAGTCTGTATCTTTGTGCTGTTCATGCGAGGGCCGGTACAGTCATGGGGTCTCTCTGCTGGGGGCTGCATCTCCACACTGCTCTGCTGCTCCTCATTAACACAGGTATCTGTCCGCCTGCTGTGCGACACCCACTCTGCCTGATGAGGTTCTGTTTGCTGGTCCTGTTTGTTCTTCACGGTGTACAGTCTGCATATCGAGCTGTGTGCTGGGGGCACGCAGACGCTGTTGCTGGAGTAGGAAGCTAATGTTCGCTGGTACTGATCAGCTTTAGCCTCTGTGTGTCACAGATCATATTAACTACATCAGGCGTATAACTGAATGACTCAATGTCTTTATTATGGTTGTTAAATGTGAAGTTTGTATTCCATAATATGAACATTAAACTCTAAATCTGTATGTCTGTCAAATAGAAAGACCGCTGTGCAGTTCTGCTAGTCGTTTAAATCTGCTGAACTTGTTCTCCTGTCATCTTTCACAGATCCTTGCACAGCTGCAGCTACACATTCAACTGTAAACCTGACAGTATCTATGGGACAGGAGGTTCACTTATTCTGCAATGATTCAAATTCAGATTTTACCCAGATTAGCTGGAGGAAGAACCATACAGTAATTTTTACTTACAGCACAAAGAACCAAACACCGAATAACTGCCCCTTGGACAGAGTATGTGTTGATGAACCTAGAGATCTACGGATCTCTTCCGTACAGATGTCTGATGAGGGAATCTACAGCTGCACAGTCACCACTGACAGGGGTACATACGTAAAAGAGTGGAGAATAAGCGTTAATGGTAACTACATTTTATGTTTACTAAGGTAAAACTATGTTTACAGGATTTGCAGACTAAAATCTTTTAAAGGTGACATTACAGACTATGTCTTTATACCAGGGGTCACCAACATTTTTGAAACTGAGAGCTACTTCACGGGTACTGAGCCACGGGTACATGAGTCATGTTGGTGACCCCTGCTTTATACCATTGTATACAAAATGCTTTGTGATCATAGTGATATCACACTGGTATTTGCATCTGCTAAAATCTAGTAGCAGATGTACATATATAATATCGCAAGATGGCGGCATCAGTAGTCGTAGCAGCCCGGCGCTCCTCGAGATTTAGCCGTTTTCTTTTGATTTTGGGTGTCAGGGGCAGCGTGTGGCTCAGTGGGCTAAGCCTGTGTGCCTGTAACTGCAAGGTTGCCAGTTCAATGCCAGCCTCAAGCCATTTTGCTCAAGGACTCGCAGACACGCTGAGGCTGGCTTCGAACCAGCAACGTTACAGGGGCTTAGCCCACTGCTACGGTTACTCACGCCGCCATGTTGCGATATTATATATGTACATCTGCTCCTAGATTTTTGGTCCTTGCGCAAGGCTCTTAACCCCCAGCAACCTGGGTGCCCCTATGGGTGGCTGCCCTTTGCAAACAGCTTACTCTGCCAAGAGCAAGTTAAGGGAGGCGTAAAGATAATTTCCCCACAGGGATCAATAAAGTATCTATTATTATTATTATGCTGCTAAACAGAGAGCTGCTAAACTGTTTTTCACTGTTTTGTAATAGTGACAATAAAGATCGATCTTATCTTATCTTATCTTACATGTGTATATATTCAACATGTTATTTCTTTCCTCATGTACAGACACAAACGATGCTGCTCAGATTAAGATAAATATTGTTTACTTTGTTGCACCTGCTGCAAGCATAATTACTGCCATTATAGGAATATGGGGCGCTGTGTTATGCCACAGGTAGGTCAATATTATAACATCAAAGTAATTATTATTCCGCAAAACATTTCACAGACATATTAATTAAAAATGGCACTAAATGTGCTCATTGCCAGAATCAAACATTGTATCGGCCTAATTGTAGCCTTAATAACTTTACCAAGACCCTTTCACTTTTTGTGATTCAGACTTATGAAGAAAAACAGAAACAAAACAGACAAGAGTAATGAGAACACGGGAGGTACGGTAAGTCATTTCATACCTTCCACAGCAGTAATAGGCCGCAGTTAGTAACCGTGGTTACAGTGGTTACAGTTAGCGATGGGTATTGATGTGATACATGGTTCACTTCATGCTAGTTTTGTTTCAAAGCTAAATGATTCGTATCTATTATTTCTGGTAAAACTACTAGCATATATATATTAATGAACAGACGAAAAGAATATTTCAAAGCAAATTTTTGCAAGGTGATGTGTATTGTAGTCGTGCAGGACTTTTGTAGCAGTCCTTTAATATAAACCAAATATGTAATATAAACATGAACACATGTACCAGTGCATTAAAAATATTTTTCAGTATTAATTGCACCATCCAAAATGATAACATTTGGAAAATATTAATTCCTTAAGAGAAGTCACGTTGTGTGTGAAACAGCTTTTTTCTCTTAATATTTAAATGGTGAGACGCGGTTACACCATAAGCCATGGTGCTGTCACTCGGGGCTTTATTGCTATTTATTGCGCTTTATTCCTACTGCACAGGACACCGGACGCCGAAGAGCTCAGAGAGTCACCGGCCATCAGTATACTGAGAGAACAAACTCAGCGTACGGGACTTAAGGACAAAACCGTGCCTAACACCTTGCTTTATTATTAAAGTTATTCAAATCCAAAAAAAATTCTTTTTAATGTCTGAAGTTTCTGACATTTGTGGAGCTGTCCAGTCTTACATGTGATGCGTCATTTACTACACTGGATGACTAAACCATTTACTAGTTACATTACAAATGGTAACTTTTAATGAAGACTGGACGATATCCCACCAAATTCGATGCTTATAGACCTAATTAAAACAAATGTTATTCAGCCAAAGGTATAATGAAACCTTTGTTTGCTCCTTTGTATTGTAATACACAATATTTTGCATGTTATTTGTCTTGTTTTCTGTGCTAACAAGGCTCAATATATGCTTGGTAGTTTGTGGGAAAGAGCTACAATTCTGGGTTTCTGCCTTAAGTACAGCATCCACTGGGTGTCTTGGTGATGGCCTGAGACATAGAGCCGTCTGGTTACATGAAGGTATGTCCTGCAGTGATGGATCCTGGCTAGAGCAAGATGGGCATTTGCCCAGGGTGACATCTTTTGAGGGGGGGGGAATTAGGAAACTGGACAGTGAAGTTTGGGGGGTGGGGGTGCAGGGACCCTTGCCTGGGGCTTTGTTCTCATACCACACATATACAGACAAGGGTAGAGTTTCGCAACAGTAAATTGTTAATAGAAAATAGTTACAATTATTAAAGCCTATTGACAGATGGAATATTTTATGGCTGTTTATGCAAAATTTACAACCAAATCAAAGTATGCTTATCGGAACTCGCAAACAGTGTTATTTTTAATAAGATGAATGAGGGCTCATTAGGGACTCAGAATTACCATGTACTATGTGAAGGATTTTGGTTTCATATATGTTTATGCATAGTTTCAGATATGTATATGCATGGTAATTCTGAATAAAGTCCCTAACATCCCCTCATACAGTAGCACAAAAAATAACTGAAAGGTTCTTCTCCAAGAAGCAGAAGAACACCGCAGAGAACAACACTGCGCATTCAGTGTTTGTGAAACAGGAATGGAGAATTCACACCTCTGTTTTTCACATGACCGGGTCAAAGACTGTCTCTCACATTTGATGCAAACCCATACAGGAAGAGCTGCTTCTGCACAAATGCACAGGTTGTCTCCAGATGATCTTTCAGTCTTCTAGCATATTCCAGACCAGCAGGGAAAGGAGGGTGTCTGAAGACCAACTCAGCTGGCATCTGTATCTCTCTTCCCAGTATAAGGAGAGCTGGTGTGCGAGAGCTGGAGTCACGTACAGCAGAAGAAGAGGCTGTAATGATCAGAGGCAGGTGTGCGGCCCAATCATGCTGGTGCTGAGCGGGTGTGATGGCGAGATACTCTGCTAATGTCCTGTTAAATCTCCCCATCAGTCCGTCACTTTGGAGATGCAGAGGGCGGTATGTGTCTTAGTGACGCTTAGCCACTTGCACTTGGTGGAAAACATCCTGGGACTCGAAATCTCTTCCATGATCACTGTAAATGCTCACCCCATTCTGCTTCCCACTTGTGGCATCTCTCCACCCTCAGCAGCTGCTCACCTGCATAACTCCTCCTGCTGCTCGTCTTCAGCCAGCTGCTGCCCTGCATAACTCCTCCTGCTGCCTGTCTTCAGCCAGCTGCTGTTCTCTCACCTCTCTTTGATCACAGTACCTGCAGGCAGCTTTACTCCAGGAGCGATAGAACTCGCATCAGCATTACCATACCGATCTGCTGTTCGATTACTTGTAGGTTTGCAGCTCCTCCACAGCAGGGTGACTGTTCCCCTAGTTCCCTGAAGGACATCAGCCAAGGTAGCCAAGCATGGTCACTCCGTATGGTGAAGGACCAGCCACACAAGTTATATGTAAAATGGTGACTGACAGAAATGACTGATTGGAGCTTCTGGTCGGTCATATAGTAAAAATGATTAATTGTCATTGTTGACACACCACAGCAGAACAATATATACGGTTTTTCCACTGTATTCTGAAATCTTAACGGTGTGGTTTTCCATACCCTCCTAAAAATTAACCCAATTCATTTTTTAATTAAACTGTAATGAAACTGGCAAACTAACCGTGAAAACTTGATGTATTGTAGTTCATGAGGGAAGACGTGGAGTAGCGTGATTTGCGTGACCGGATCTTTACGCAGCATTCGTAAAAAAAGAGGCAAAAAAGAAACAGCGAGTTAAAAGACGAAAAGCATCTGCCCCCATTTGGCAATATTTTGGGTGTATTCCAAAATGACAACATAGATGAACTTCCAATATCCACTCACACCTAAGAGTGCATCACTTGCTAGCTGCTGCAAGTGCCTTTGTCGACAATTACAACCAGACCTGCTGTTCCACACCAAGTAACCTAGTTGCAAACACTTCCGCATATGTGCAACAAGTGAAGCATCCGAGCGAAAACTCAACACAGCGGGGAAAGTGATCACCTCACAGCATTAAATCCTCGCAAAGTGCACATGCATGTCTTTCTAGTAAAAGAAAAATATATACTATGGCACACATACCTGGGCGGCACGGTGGTGTAGTGGTTTGCGCTGCTGCTTCACAACAAGAAGGGCCTGAGTTCGGTCCCTGTGTTTGTGTTTCCTCCCACAGTCCAAAAGTGTGCGCGGTAGGTTAATTGGCGACTAAGTTGGCTGTGTGAGTGTGTGCGCCCTGCGGTGTGTTGGTTCCTGTCTATGCCCGTTGTTCCTGGTATAGGTTACGGTTACGGTAATGGATGGATGGTACGCATACCACTAGTGGTACTGAAGCTCCCTCTAGTGGTGCGTGGAGGTATCTCGATTGAGACCAGTTTGGTTGAAATCTGAAACATATAGGGGGCCAACTTCATGCAGGATTGTGACCTTGTGTGTGCCTCTCTGTGACATATGATAAACATTCATCATGTCTAAACTGTCATCAAGTCTAAACTGTACTCTCAGAAATAGAGAAGAGTGGGAATCAAACCCTGAATTCAAAGGCTGGTTGAAGCCGTTTATTGGAGATGCTACAAGGGCATACTGCCTGTATTGCAAGGCTGATTTCTATGCCAAGCTTAGTGATGTAAAAAAATGCATGACAACTCAAAAATATACACATAGGGCAAAACCTTATAACAGTTCCACCCAAACCACACTGCCATCAATGGTTAAAAAATTGATTCTGCAAGAAAGGCAAAGGCCACCATGGCATTAGCTATGTCTGAACACTGTTCTATGCTGGCATGTGATCACATTGGGGAAGCATGTAGAGTCACTGTTGCCAACTCCTCAGCAAGGAATGTCGCTATTGGTTGTCCCAAAAGTCGCTAAATGACGCCATCGCCTAATTTGCATAATGTGCATGTAATTATAATGGACGCTGTAGGAGAGAGGAATAATGTCGTGGGAGAGACAAAAGGTGGTTAAAAAACACCCTAAATACGTTTAGAACTACAACCGATAGTAATACAACCTATGTACAGTACTGTGTGAGTTTGTTACATGATTCTATTTGACAACATTTATATCCATTTAATTTAGGTGTCGAGTTGCCATATGTATCAAAAACACCACAGCAATTGTTTATATGATCATTGTTTATTATTAAATGATTTTACATTCTTTGCATTTTTGGTATTCTTCAGTTTAGTAACCAATCTCAAGTTGACAAAAAAGTACAGTTACTGTTACAAAGAGCAGTGTTTCTCAAACTAGTCCAAGGGGCACCTAGAGGGTTCATGTTTTTGCTCTGTCCCAGTTCCCTGAGGACTGGTTTGAGAAACGCTGACATAGAGGGTAAAGTCTAAGTGCATAGAAACAATGCAAAGTATTTGTATTACAATTGTATTTGTTTGCACCCACTTAGGTATAAGGATTTTTTTATGGATAGTGACATAACCTAAGGAGCTTAAATGTAATATGAAAGGTAAGTTCTACCAACACAGACGGCCAGTGCCCCTTTATTGCATTTTCGGGTACATTCCCATGTACGTATTAAGAAAAGGTCAACTTTATCCACTGCAGATGTTGGCCACATCCCCTTCGGAATGCTGACAGCTAGAGCCTCAACTGAGGATCCCCCCCACATATTACACACCTCACCAGATCTACTGGTGGTCAGTCATCACCTGGGACATCTGCTTCCACAGCAGATTCTCTGATTGCCCCATGGTGTTCTCCTCAATGACAGCTGATAGTTCTCTTGTGATCTTTAAACTCTCTACATGGCAAAGATGATGATAACTGGGAACAAAATTTTTGTTTTTTACTTTTCGTAGGTTGGGATGTTTGAGGGGTAACACTTCCTCGTTCACTACTTCAACACTCCGCAAAAACAGCTGACATCTGTTAACCTGAAGTGCCGTATTTACACCCAGTGAAAATCGAACCTACAAAAGCAATAGATTACTTAGTGAGAAAAGGCTGCTAATCATCAAGCTCTTTCGGCGACTAGATCGCTAACAGGTTACGTTCATGCGGAATATATTGCAAAAATAAACCACGGTTAACTTGTACTAGCGGTAACTTACTCCGCCTTCAAGTCATGTCGAAAAAAATCGAAAATATGTAATAACAGCAGATGAGCGCCAATACAGAGGGAGTGGGGAGATTCGGGGTTTTCTCCAGAGTCCGCTGTATACCAGTGGGGAGATTCGGGGTTTTCTCCAGAGTCCGCTGTATACCAGTGGGG